CGCAATACGAATGCCCCCGTTTGTCCCTGTTAATCATTACCTCCAGTTCCGAAAACCAACAAAATAGAACCGAGGTCCTATTCCATTATTCCATGCACCATTATTCAGGCAGCTCGGCCTGCTTTGAACACTCTAATTTTTTCAAAGTAAACGCGCCGGCCACCCGGGACGCTCAGCGAAGAGCACCCACGGGAGAGAGCCGGCAGACGGGTAGGGCAGGAGACAACGGGCAGTGAGCCGGCGCGAGCCGGACCGCCCGCCTGCGCCTGAGATCCAACTACGAGCTTTTTAACTGCAACAACTTTAATATACGCTATTGGAGCTGGAATTACCGCGGCTGCTGGCACCAGACTTGCCCTCCAATTGATCCTCGTTAAAGGGTTTAAAGTGTACTCATTCCAATTACGGGGCCTCGAAAGAGTCCCGTATTGTTATTTTTCGTCACTACCTCCCCGTGCCGGGAGTGGGTAAGTTGCGCGCCTGCTGCCTTCCTTGGATGTGGTAGCCGTTTCTCATGCTCCCTCTCCGGAATCGAACCCTGATTCCCCGTTACCCGTTACAAACATGGTAGGCATATCACGTACCATCGACATTTGATAGGGCAGACATTTGAAAGATGCGTCGCCAGCACTAGGGCCATGCGATCAGCACAAAGTTATCCAGAGTCACCAATCGGGACGCCGCGCCCCGCGAAGGGCAACGGCGATTGGTTTTGAACTAATAAAAGCGCTCTTTCCACGAGGGTCGGAGCTTGGTAAGCATGTATTAGCTCTAGAATTGCCACAGTTATCCAAGTAGGATAGTTTTCATCTAATAAACATCGACTGATTTAATGAGCCATTCGCGGTTTCACCGTGAGACAGTGTGAACTTAGACATGCATGGCTTAATCTTTGAGACAAGCATATGACTACTGGCAGGATCAACCAGATAGCTATCATCGTCGCCGGCCGAAGCCGACTTGCTTATTATATATGACGGTCACAGCGCTAGCCTTCGTAGGCCAGCGCCGCCTGCTCGGGGCGGGAGAATGCTGTCCTTTCAAGAACAGGTCCCTTTTGCGTCCCCTCGCTTTTTTTTTTTCCCATCGTTGCCACCAGACACAGAGGGGAGCCAGACACGCGCTGGAGACTCGACCCTCCGTTCGTCCTTAACGGACCCAATTTCGTTATGCCAACCCAGACGCCCGTTGCGAGGGCCGGGTTTCTACGAGACCAACTATCGAGCTCTCCGTGCCGCACGGAACTCTTTCCTACGTACAACACGCTAAATGCGACCAACTACGGACACCGCACGTGCCCGCGGCCCCAAGAGCAAGGGGAGCCGACGAGCTACGATCTCAAGTGCCGATCCAAGTTACTGGGAGACAGCGTACGTAAGAGTAAGCATGCCACACACAGTCGCGGATCAGCGAATACCGCCGTACAGAGCGCTTGCGTTAGCCTTGCCTCCTGTTAGCCAGCCAGACACCGTGAGAACCCGACGCGCCATTACCGAGCTCTCTGCTAGCCTTTGCCTTGCGCCGCCGCCATTGGTTGACTTGTCTCGTCTTGACTGGCGGGGATTGGTGCTCGGCATGTTTTCGCATGCTCCACGAGTATCAGTCCAGACGGTGTATTTTTTACGCGATTTTTTCGTAGAAGTCTATGTTATAGGTTGGATTTTCTGGAAAGTTGTTGCGTTTTGCATGTTTGGCATAAGGGGTGTGTACGGTACGACTGTGCGTGAGTGTGTGTGAGAGTGAATGAGCTGCATAAATTAGCATAAATTAGCATAAAATATACGCTGTTGAAAGCCAGTAAGTTTAATAAGTCTACGTCAAGTAATAATAAGTAATTAATGTTTAATGTAGTGGTTGCTGCACTATGTCTACACACTAGATCTATCTATCTATCTATCTATCTATCTATCTATCTATCTATCTATCTATCTATCTATCTATCTATCTATCTATCTATTGAAAAAAAAAAAATCTAGTCTCTATTTTATTATGTTTTGTTTTGGGCGGGCGGGTTCGAGTGGATTTTATAATTCTTTGTATTCGTTTGTAGAGATCTAGATAACTAGATTAATTTGTTTCTTTAGTCAGTCGCTTTTTTTGTTTTGTTTTTTAGAAAATTGCAAATGGCAGCTTCCGTTGAATAATAATAATAGAGAGAAAAAAATCAATCTAGTTAGTAGATAGATCTATCTAGGTCTAGACCTCTCACTCAACTTAAAAAGAGTTAATAATATAGACTCTAGACTAGATCTAGTATTCTAGTAGATGATCTAGTAAGGTCTAGATTAGGCCCCTATATTTCTTTTTAACCAAAAAAAGTGTGTTTCTGATTCTGTTCAATCTGTCTAGTCTAGATCTAGTTCCAATCTAGACTAGTCAGTAGTAGAAGTAGTAGGATTATATTATTATATGCTATATAGGGTTGGATCTATAATAAATACTAATGTACAGTTACAGTAGACTTGTGACACTTGTTATGTAGATCTAGAATTGTAGATCTAATCTAGTCCACATGTTCATGATTCCAACAATTATTATTAAGTTGTTGTAAATCTATATAATTTATTATTATTATCATTATTATAAAATGACAGGAGGACCCAGGGACACCCCTGGAGGGTATCTAATATAATATTTCAGTCATTTTTTTCTTTTCATCCAACTGAGATAGATGATTTAATTATTTCAATTATTTCAATGTCTAGATTAGATCTATTATATCTCCATCCTCTGCAGTGCAGTGCCGTGCCAGGCTGCAGGCTAGCTAGCTACAACAACATGAGCTAGATCTAGACTTCTAGTTAAATCGAGTAAATCTAGATCTAGTCAAAAGAAGTAACTCAATAACTCAATAATTTCTAGTCTAGAAATTGAATTAGATCTAGATCTATTATAGTAGAGTTAAGTAGAGTCTAGATCTAGTGATCTAATAATAGCAAATTAATAAATCTTGTCATTTCTAATTCTTTTTTTATTGCATAGTTAATAAATTGCTGTTGTTGAAATATTAACAAACTTGAAAAGTGTACATTTTAAAAAAGGCACCACACCACACCACACCATGTGTAGAGTAGAGTAGAGTAGAGTAGAGTAGAGTAGAGTAGAGTAGAGTAGAGTAGAATAGAGTGCTGTCTGAACAAATGTTGCAGGTTCGACTCCTGCCCCAGGCAAATGATATCGGGACAAGGACATAAATGGCAGTGGGTACTATAAGCCTGGTGACCCACCGTTTGTTCAACAGCCTGTGCCTTTTAAGCCTTTTAAGCAAAATGGAAAGATTAATTTATACTGCATGTTTTATTATGTTTATACTAGCAATACTATTAGCATGAGAAAGTAAGGTTTAGGGTTTCCCTTATGCTTAGGGTTAGGGGGTAAGGCTTATCCTTAGCGTTAGGATTAGGTTGTTAGGTTCTCCGTTACTTTCAGCTCATGCTTAGGTTGTTTTTTTTGTTGTTTTTTTTGTGTATTATGCTTAGGGTTTGTTTGGTCTATACTTAGGGTTCAGCCTAGGCATGGCC